TGGGCTCCCCAGCCAGGCTCTGCCCTCTACTGCCGCCCACAGCCTGGCGTGCACTCTGCTCCCACTCCAGCCAGTACCATCCACCCACTTTGTCCCTCTGGCTCAGGGCTAATAGCTCCCTCGGTGCCATCTTATACTCTGAGTTAGACAAGGCATTACTCCGTGCCTCAATTAGTGCCCGGAAGTATAACCCCCAAAAAGGAAACTTACCATGTTTTAAAAATAATGGAACAACCCTGAGTAGGTAGTGACTTGTCAAAAGGAATATACCATTAATTTGTTTAGTTTCCAAACTTTCTGTAAATGTCAGCTGTAACCTTTCAAAAGAAGACTGTATACTGCAATTTTTTTAAAAGCAACTCATTTTTTAGAAGAACTATATGTAATAGTATGAAAATACTCTAAGCATATTAAGTGAACAAAGCTGAATGTAGAATATTTTTACTATGATTTCATTATATATATATATCATTTAGATCAACCACATTAATTAGGTTTTTGAATCTTCCATATCCTTACTTATTCTTGTCCACTTGACTTCCATAGATTTACATATAGAAATTAAAATATCCGATTAACAATATGCTTTTTATTTCCCCTTACATGTCCCATATTTTTTGTTTGAAAATGTTGATGCTATGCTATCTGCTGCCTAGAATATTCAAAATTTATATACATACATATGTGTGTGTGTGTGTGTGTGTGTGTGTATTTGATATTATAAATAATTCCTCTTTATCTCATTTAATGCTTTTTGGCCTGAATTCAGCTTTGTCTGGAATTAATAATCATTACCTCTGATTTCTTTTTGTTTAACATCTTTTTCCCTCTTTTACTGAACAATGTCAATAAATTTATGTTCTGTCCCACTAATTTGATCTGTCCCAGATCTCCTTTCCCCACCTTCCTGTCTTCATTATTCTCTCAACATTTTATTTTTTCTCAAATCTAAAAAAAGTATTTTTACTTTAAAATTTTATTTTAAAAATTACTTTTATTTTTATTTTAAAATAATTTGTTGTTATTTGTTAAAAGTTTGATCTTTTCCAAATAAGCATGCCTTTATGTACTTTATATGCTAGAGATAATACTATGAATAACAAGACTACTTTTAAGATCCATACATCAAATTCATAGAAGGACAAAACTCATTTTATGGAAGGTAAAAGGAAGAGCCTGTCCTATGTTACACAGACTGGTAGTGCCTCTTAACTTTTCATACCCTTTATTTCCTTTTCATTTTGTTCTGATTTTTTGCTTCTATCCTCTGCTCTATATTCAGCAGAGTCTGCTTTCCTCCGTGTTCCTTCCAATACAGTCCAAACTTCAATTATAAGGATTTTTCTTTTTGTTTTTTTTAATTCTGGGCTCTGTGCTTCTTGGAAATGATAGATGTTTGGCAGCTTTCTCTATTTCCTCTCATATACTTGGTCTACACAGATATCCTATCTTCCCTTTGGTCTTATTTGGGAATTTATATTTTGTCTGTTTACATTTCAGCAACTTCTGTTATTACAACTTATCTTCCTGATCTTTCATAGCTCTGCTGTGGGCTCTTGATTTGATTACTTTTTAAATTAATTCCAAAACGTTTTGTCATAATTTTTTTAAATAGACTTAAGTTTTTTAGAGACATCTTAGGCCCCTAGCAAGATCGAGGGGAAAGTGGAGTTCCCATTTTCCCATTGCCCAACTACCAAATCCTACACCAGAGTGGTACATTTATTAGAATTGATGAACCTGCATGGAAACATCATTGTCACTCAAAGTCCATAGTTTACATTAGAGTTCACTCTTGGTGTTGTACATTCTATGGGTTTTAACAAATGAATGATATGTATCCATTATAGTTCATACAAAATAGAGTTTTGATGCTCTAAAAACCCTCTGTGCTTCTCCTAGTCATCCCTCCCTTCCCTCCAGCCCTTGGCAACCACTGATTGTTTTTTACTGAATCCTTAGTTTTGCCTTTTCCAGAATGTCATATAGTTAGAATTATACAATGTGTAGCCCTTTCAGATTGGCTTCTTTTACTTAGTAATAACACATATTTAAGTTTCCTCTGAGACTTTTCATGGCTTAAGTCCATTTCTTTTACACAGTGAGCAGTATTCCACTATTAGGATGTACCACAGTTTATCAGTTCACCTACTGAAGGACATCTTGGTTACTTCCAAGATTTAGCAGTTATGAATAAATCTATAAACATCCATGCACAGGTTTTTGCATAGACATATGTTTTCAACTCATCTGGGTAAATACTAAGAAGAACAATTGCTGAATTTTATAGTAAGAGTATGTTTAGTTTTATAACAAACTGCCAAACTGTCTTCCAAAGTGGCTGCACCATTTTGCAACACCATCAGCAATGAACGACGGTTCCTGTTGCTCCACATCCTCACCAGCATTTGGAGTGGTCTGTGTTTGGGTTTTGGCCATTCTAATAAGCGTACAGTGTTGTTTGAATGTCATAACTTTTATCAACTAGACTGAAACATTTTTCTGGTGCTCATACTTCACTTGATATTTGTCCTTTTCCTTTCCTCCTTTCTTCCTATAACATCTTTGTATATTACAAGATCCTTGATGGTTCCTTTATTACCTTTAATAAAAACTTGATTTTCCTGTACCAGTTTTTCACTTTCTTTCTCATGTTATTTCCCTATATAAGTCAACCATTTAATGGTGACTGAAATGGTGACATTAGAAGGAAAGGGAAAGATAGGGTAGCCTGTAGTTCCTTTTCCTTTCAGGCCTTCCTACTCATGAAGAAGCCAAAGGTAGAGACTGCAAGTAGAATGTGCACATATCAAGAATTAAGTTCATTGTGTATGGTGCTTTTACTATTCTGATATAAACAAAATATATTTGCATGTGCAAGCTACAAAATGTGGATTTTTTGTGTAACTTCAGTGATTGTGCATGTAATTTAAACACTCATATTTAATAATTAAAACTGGCATTGCACAATATGAAGATGAATAGTAAAATTCATGCTAATAACATTAAATTTTAATTTTTCTTTGCTTAGAGTGGCACTAAATAGTAAATAAAAAATATCATGACAAGTTAAGAGAGAGAGAACACAGGAGAAAGGGAAATGCTTTATATCTTAGGACCTTTAACACTTTTTGCCCTGATTTTTAAACAAGGGCCTTGCATTTCCATTGTGCACTGGAACCTCCAAATGATGTATCCAGCTCTACACAGGAGGTTAGTGCTGAGAAGGCCTGAGAGATTATCCAGCACAATCCCTTCATCAGACAAGGAAGATGAGGTCCAGAGAGGTGAGGTTCATCTTGCTTGGGAGAAAGGGAGGGCAGAAGAGGAGGAACTCCCTCCAGCTTCATGCCCTGGGGAGTGAGCTGAAGCTGCCCTGGCACATGCCAAATCCACAGGACCTACACCTCTCCGCTGGGCCCCAGCCCAGATTCTTTGGCTCCTCCCCACCCCAGCATGGTCCTGGAGTACCCAGCGCCTGCCTTGTCTCCAAGGCTGGAGGGCAGGGGACCCAAGCATGTAGCATTCTTTGCAGCCACTGCATATTTTGGCCGCATTCCCACCATCCCCGATCCCCCGTTAGCATTTACTCCCACACAGTCCACAGCCAGACAAGATCCTATACCCACTGCATTCCACCAGCCTGGCCACCTGGGACTTTGAACAGACATGTGTTCTCATCCTGGGAACATTCCTTTGGCATCTACTAAGTCCACACAGCCATTAAAAGTTTGAGAAATGATTCGTTAGAGGTGGCGTTTAGGGGAGTCCTGATGCAATGTCCTGAATCTTCCTCCTTAGACCAATTTCTTCTTTGCTATGAAGACAGTGTGGGATGTTAACAAAAGTGAGTGCCAGGAGAAGCATCGGGAAGACATGAGGTCTTTTCCTACTGCTCTAGTAAAACCCTCGCTGTGAGGTTTGGGAATGTTGATTTTTGAAAGAGTTAACAATTTTTTCCCAAGGCAACTGATTGAATTGCTCACATAACAAGAAACTTTCATCAGACAGCATGTCCACTGATAGTCCAGCTAGCATCCCCTACACAAACACTATTTTCACTTTTTCAGGGACTAAAGAGAAAAATGGACGCTTTTACTCAAATTACAGTGACACAATTCAACCCTCCCCTACAGCCCTAGAGCCCAAGGCACTGCCAAAACACAGCAATGTGCGAAAGGACACTGCGTACCATTTCATTCCGTTAGTTGGGAACATGATTTTGAACTCCACCCTGCCTCCCTCCACCTACATTAAACCCTAGAAGGATATCTGTTTCAAATGATATGTTTTCTGGAACTTCTTTGAGTTGCCTGAAAAGTATTTCTAATCAAAGCATTTGGCACCGGCACTGGCTGGCTGGGGGCGGAGGGAGGGGTGGTGAAGCCGATTGGGACTGGGTGCAGAGGACTGGGGAAGGGCCTCCCACCCCGGGGACCACCACACCCTCTCCCAGCTTGCAGGCAGTTCGGGTTTTCTCCCAGCCACCACCAGTCGCACGCTTTACAAAGAAGGACCACAGCCCCTGGCTTCAGGTCTGACACTGAAAGGGTTGCACCCCCTCACAATAGCTCTCCCACCAGACCCTCTCCTTTGGTGGATTCTTTCTTTCCAATGGCTCCTACGTGTTGGGCTTTTAGATTCTTGTTGCTTCCTAAGCTTTCTCACCAGGAGTCAGAATTCGGTCCTCCAGTCCAGTTCTCCTACTGCTCTTGCAAAAACCAGTTCAAATGCAACTGGCCCTCCAGGCCTTCCTCATTGCTCTGAGGAATGCTCTAGAGCATTCGAGCAAGGCCTATTTTCTAGCACATCATCTTAACTCTTGTGTTTGCTTCCCCCGCTGAACCAGAACCCAGAAACAATGACTTATTTTTCAATGTCACCCCTTCCACCTGAATGCCCAGTGCAGGCCAGGTATGTGGGCACACATTAGGTGTTGGGCAGACCAGCTGGATAAATTAAAGGTTTTCTGCTGCAACACAGCATTCTTGTTAACATACCTGCACAAACGCTCAGTTAATACCAGTGATGGTCTCTGATTTCAAATGGATGAATGTGTTCCTGTCGTGTTCTCAGAGTCCCTCCTCCATCACTGCAAAGGCCATAAGCAAGGTTGTCACATTCATGAGCTCTCAAAGTCCCCAGGGCCACCCAGCCCAGCTGTAGGGCACTAGGGGCCTTTGAGGAGCTTTGAACAAATCTGGAATTATTTATAATTGAAAATCAGTCTCTGAGAGCTCCTCTAGCCTTGAAGGAGTTTATTATTCTCCACCCCCACGTGCTTCCCCTGTTCCCTGGCCTGGTCCTCTGTCCTGACATCCTGCCCCACTCACAGCAGGTTCTCCGGTGCCCTTCGGGCCTTGCAGCACCTGCACTTGGCAAACGGCTGCCTTCCCACGGGGCTGGAGCCGGGAGTGAGGAGTCGCAGACCACCCTGCACGCCTGCACATACCCCTCTGATGGTGTCGGGGCAGCAGAGAGCCACAGCGGCCAGCTGAGGCGGAAACACAGCCTGACTGGCTACTCCAGGCTCACCTCAGCAGGGGCCTGCAGATGGGGAGCTGGGATGGAGGCCTTGGAGCCTGGTCCGTTTCCAGCCCCAGGGCCCATATCGCCCATCCTCCACACCCTTGGCGTGAGCCGTCCCTCCCGGGACCACCGCAAGCTCTCGGTCCCCTGAAGCCATGCACGCTGAGGCCAGGGGACTAAGGGAGGACAGTAAATCAGACCTGCAGACAAGCACAGATCTTTTAAGCTAGTGGACAGTTGGACAACTGTTTTAGCTGCAGAGCTCTTTCTTAAAAAGAATCTTACCAGAAAAGCCAATGAGCAAAACCAAGAAGGCCCCGGCAGAACAGCCCAGCCTCTCTCTGGGTTTCGCTGCTAGCAGGCCAAGGTGTTTTCATTTACTCCACTTCCTCAGCTCCCTCCCACTCCTGACCCGCAGAAACACCTGGCAGCTCGGAGGTAGGCAGGCCCCGCTGGGCGGCCAGCCCGGTGCCAGCGAAGCGGGCCGAGGGCAGCCTCCTCCCGCCCAGCCCGAGCGATGTTTACAGCCAGCCACGGAAGGCAGGCGCACTGATGAGTGCCGTGGTCAGAATATTCTTTCATGCGAGTAGAACAAGCTTAATTAAAACGAGGCTTTGCTGGAAGGATACTGGGAGCGCTCACACACGTACCTGGGCTCTCGGGGCCTAGAACTGGCCCCCACACTGTGGGGACCTTACTCCTTACCTCCATGTGATGCTTTTCTTTTTTCACGTGGCTTCATTCTCTCCAGTAGAGATGGGTCTCCTCTGTGTGACGGAAAACACAGCCTCTGGAACCCTAGATTCCCACCCACCCCTCCAACCTTCCTGAGTTAAGACACCTTCACCACCAGCTCTTCTTAGATTGGCCCAGGTTCTGTTATGTGCCTGTGTCTTAACCAATCACTGTAGCCACAGGGAGTGGACCCCCGCCTACTCCGGTGGAGAGCCCAGAGTTCGGGGCTCAGAACCACGAGGAAGGGGACTGGGAGAAGTGGTTCCCCCAGTAAAGAAGGGCTCCTTCTAGGTTAAGGATGGTGAACAGTAGAGGTTCTTAACATTTTGACAAGGATTCTGGAACAGTGCCCTAACCAAAAGGAATGATCCCTGTGAATTCAACCTCAAAACTAGAGACCCCGGCAAGGACAGCCTCTGGGTTCCTCGGGCCACCCACAGAGGGAGCCATCGCACTCCCTCCCTTACAGCCAGAGCCAGCCCCAAGCATTAGCTGGGAGAATGCGTGTTGCTTTTCTTTTCAAACTTGATTCGACTTGAAAGGATTCTTCATTTGGTGCAAGTGAGCAAGGGAAAGTGTGTTGGTTCAGTGGTGCAATAAATAACCTCTCATTATGAGAAACGTGAGGACACAGTCACCTCAGCCATTTGGTAACCATAATCTGACATTACAGAAGCCTTTCTTGTGGGACCAGAGATATCTGAGCCACTTCCCTTTTCAAACAACTTCAGCTAATGGCTCTCCATGCTGTTAGTGGAATGAGTTCAAGCTATCTGATTTGTGGCCACTTGATTGTGTCCTGAGAGGAGAGGCTCAGCTTTGCAAGGAGGAGTGATTGCCTGGGAACACTGCAGAGTGCTAAATTTCCTGTGGAGTCAGGGGGACCACTATTTGGAGAAACTGAACTCCTCTGGAGAGCTGAAAATATTTGTCAAGGCTTCTCACTCCCATGCTTGGCCCCCCTCACTCTGACAGCTTGCTTCAGCTCTCTCTCTGCCTCTCTGGTTTTCCTGACGCTGGGAATGTTTTCTTAGAAAGGGGATGGGGATTGGGTCTTCCTGAGTCCTCTACACAAAGCCAGAAGCCAGGTAGAAAATGATCCAGCTGCACAGCCTGGCTAACAGGTCAAACCACCACATCCTTAGGCAAAAGGTCAGTCCTCAGAGTGCACTGAAAAACTTCTGCCTATGAACTTCACGTTCTGTCTGGAGAGGCTGTAGGGCAGGTGGAGTGGGAGGGCAGCTGTGTGTGCCCGTGAAGAAACCTTCTCATATTAACAGGAAGAGAGACACTATTTTGTGTAGTCACGTTGCATGGCCACCTGCATGCTTCTGCGCTAACCCATAGGCCCATTTTAGGAGTCTTTGGTGCCATTTGATCTAAAAGAAAATGACAATAGAGCTCAATACTGTGCCAAGCATGCTTTACAGGTTGAAGAAAGAGCACCAAAGGGACAGGATTTGTTTTGACAACTGGAAACCTGGCTTCATTTTCAGAACCGTAACAACCAAAGAGTAACAACCAAAGATTATCCCAGGCTCAGAAGGGACTTGGTCTTTTTAATAACCTATTGATTTTGGAATAATTTTAGATTTACAGAAAAGTTGCAAATACAGTACAGAGAGTTCCTATATATCCTTCACTCAGTTTCCACTGATGTTGCCATCTTTCATTATCATTTCTCATTTGTTAAAATTTAAAAATTAGCATTAGTACAGTACCATCAATTAAACTCCATGCATTATTCAGATTTCACTAATTTTTCCACTAATGTCCCAGGATCCCACATGCATTTAGCTATCGTGTCTAGTATCCTCCAATCTGTGATAGTTTTTCAGTCTGTCTCTGTGTGAACCTTGACAGTTTTGAAGGGTGCTGGTCAGGTCTTTCAAAGAACATCCCTCAATTTGGGTTGTGGATATTGTCTCATGAATACACTTAAGTCATAGGTTTTGAGGAAAAGTATCCAGAAGAAAAATGCTTAGGGAGGATTTTTTTAAAGAATAGTAACTCAGAAGTTACAAGCTGACCTACCTTCAAACAAAATCATGTTTTGCTCGTTCTGTCTGTATTTTTAAGAATTTTATGCTGTATTTTTTTATATTCAGATGTCTCACTTCTCTTTAAAAATAGAACTGGTGGCTGCAGGCTTCCACGGCCGTCAGAAGTGAGATGTCTTTTTAGGGCCCCACCCGGCCTGTGGCCTCCCCAGCTCTGAGGCCTGGCACCAGCTGCCTTTGGTTGTCACGTCCCCAGTAATCAGTGTCTTCCCTACTTCTGTCACAACAGGAACGGACTCGAGAGAAAGCAAGCAAGAGCAAGGAATGTGGTGAGTGAGCTGAGTGCCCAGGAAACTGCATTTCTCCTGATAGGTGTGAATGCACGCTCTGAAGCTGCATGGGATTCTCTACATGACAGAGGCCTCACTGCATATGGGCAGCAGAAAGGAGGGGTGTGGGTCAAGAGGGAAGCCAGTCATAAGGGAAGGAGGTGGGTGAAGGGAAAGGATGCTACAACTTTCCCCCAAAACCCTTCCCCAGGCCAAAATCACGTCCCTCCCCAAGGATAGCCCTGTCACCTACCTGGACACACCCTCCAGGGTCTGCACAGCTGGGCCTGCTCTGGGCAGGAATTCCAGTACTGCCAATCACACCACAAAGAGGACCTGTGAACAGAGAGAGGATCTTCCATGTCTTCCTATCGTCCCTAAGATACAGCCTGCTCCAGCCAGAGTGAGGGTCTGACTTCTCCTCTGCTCCCCTACACCTGCTGTCTGTGAGCTGCACACCTGCCATCACATGGGCTAGAATTCCAAGTCCCAGTCCCCCCTACCCCAGATGAAGTGATGACAGGCTCCCTGACTCCTCCTTCCCTTCCTGATCCTCCTCCCCTTTCCCATCCCATGTGTCACCCCAGCCTTGAAGGCTTTAGGGTCTGTAGAGTGTGACTATCCCAGCTGTTGAGGTGGCAACCAAGCCAAATCCTCAAGTCTCTGAGCCACTAATGTGATAAATCAGACCCAGTGCACCACCAGAGCAAGCCTGGACCGGGGCCTCAGGTGAAGGAAGTGAGCACTGGACCAGGAGCCAGAGGATCTAGATCCAGTCATGATTCCAGTGCTGTATGTTGTCAGGCAAATCACTTAACCCCTCTGACCCTGCATTATCTCAACTATCAAATCAGGTCACATTATTATTATCATTATTATTATTTATACTGAAGTACACACAATAAAATGTACAAATATTGGCATACAGCTTGAGTTTTGACATGTGTATACCCTCATGTAACCATTACCCAGATGAGGATATCAAGCATTTTCACTACATTTTTTTTCCGCCTTAAAATCAGGTCACATTTTTACTTCTATTGCCAACCTCCTGATTTCTTTGATGTGTGAAGATGATCAAGGCACAGAATAAGCTTGCTGACTGGTTCCCTTCACTCCCAAATCCAAATTATATCCTTCTCTATGTGCACAGCCTCCCGACTTTCTCCATCAGTGAATTTGTATCACCTTCCCTGCTCATGTATTAACCCCGACCACTCCCCCTGATAGAATTGCCTTGAGGACAACATATTCATATTGGACATAGGGTCCAGTACTGTGTTATTTACTCTTGTACTTGGTATAGGGCATTTCAATAAATGTTTGTAAAATCAAAAAATTAAGCAAGAAAATAACATAGTGTATGTAAAAGTACTTTGTAAACTATCATGTTTTATCCAAACATGGAGGGCTAGGAATGGTACCTGGCTAGTTCCTGGGTAGCTGACCTCACCTAGCCATCCCTCTTCTCAGAGAAGCTGTTCTAACCCACAGCCAATGCCTTCTGATCAAAGGTGATTGGGCCACAGGTTGGGCCACACCCAAATAATCTTCCATTTAGACACTGGACAAAGAAGACACAGTCTCTCATTAACAGGCACAGATTCACCTTCAGGGAGAAGGAAAAGGAGTCTGGTAAGGGCAGAAACACAAGCACTTCCCTGAGGCAGGAACAGGTCGGATGGCTGTCCTGAGGCTCAAATCCTCAATCTCACAGTTGATGGTGGGAGTGACCTCTCCCTGAGAAGACTCAAAGATACTTCTCTCAAAGGAGGACAGGAGGCTGAGCCATAGCCAGAAAGAAGTTCCAGAGAATTATGCTTCAGCCTGCATGTTATTGCCTGAACTGAGGTCCAGCAGTTCGTGGCTACACCAGGAGGCCTCCCAGGACCCTCTGTGGAGAGTGGCTGGCTCTGAAGGGCTGGGAATCCACCAAATCAGATGAACAAGCTTGCAATAGCCAAAAGTGCGCACAAATCATACAAGCAAAGCAGCAGAATCAGGAGAAGGACACGCAGCCAACTTTGGGCCTGGCTAGCAGGATCCTGGTGAGAACAGATTCCTCATCCAGGAACTGTAAGTAACTTGGATGGTGTTTGTCATAAGATTACGAAATACTGTGGAACTTGTGTTTCCTGTAATTTGCCTGCCTCCAAGGAGCTCATGTTTATTGATTTTCTTCTGTAAAAGGCAGAATTATCAATTTGGTTTGCCAGTATTAAAAGTTCTTGGGTTTCTGAGGACCCTTATTCTTTTCAAATCCTCAGAAGTTTGGAAATGATAGGATGAAATGAGCATTTATTGAATACACTAAACACATGTATTGAATATATTTATTGAATTTACTAAATATTGAACATGTGTTAGGCACTGAACTAGGACTTCTACAAGACAGTAGTGAATTTAATCCTTGCAGGACCTCTGAAAGTTATGACTATACCCATTTCACTGAAGAAAAAATCAAAACTGAAAGAAATTAAACAACTTGTGCTAAGTCCCACAGATAACATAAGCCAAACCAAGATTTTGACCCACGTTTGTCTCAATTTTCTGCTCTTTCCGTGGCCCATACTCCCTCCCTGTGACAGCTCCTCAGGGCCTTGGGAATCTGAGTCCATGAAGAGAAATACTTTGGTTATTGAGTCCTCACTCCTGGGCAGGAATGAGGGGAAATATTGAAGCCCCAAATTTATATTATATTATCCCTTTTTCTAATCTGTTATTTTTAGATTCATATCCTTACTCCATCTGGAATTTGTTTTTGAGGAAAGCTAGTTTCTATCATGTTCTATGTAGTTTCCATTCTATCAAGAATGGAATTTAGTTTTATTTTCATTTCTAGCTGGAGATATGCTCATTTAGAGAAAAGCTACATTTTCTGGTTTGTCATATTCACCTACCTTACCAAATTTTTCTCTTCATTCTAGTAGGATATTAAAGTCACTAAATCTGAATATATTTGTCTGCAAAAAAAAAGATAATTTATTTAGTTTTTCTTCAGTGTTTTTTATTTTATTGCTCTACTGCATTATTTAAAACTTCCAAAGCAATACTAAATAATGATAATAGCAGTCAAGGCTATTTATTCCTGATTTTAAAATGGCTTCACTATTTCATAGTTGGACACAGTCATTACCATGTTTTAAAAAGTCTTATTCTATTCCTATTTTACATGGACCTTTATTAGTAATTGCTGCTAGATTTTATCAAATGCCTTTTGCCATCTACTGTTATATTTTTTCTCTTTCAATCTAACATAGTAAATTTTTTTGATAAATTTCCAAATTCCAAACTATCTTTACATACCTGAAATAAACTTGACTTGACTTACTTTGATTCTTTTTTATTACTTTCTACTGGATTTGGCCTTACTAAATCTTCTTTAATATTTTAGCTTCCACATTCATAAATGAAATGGTCTAGTTTTTTCCTACCTTTATCACATTTTTAATATGTGTTTATATATGTATATGTAATGTATATGTAATACATGTTATATATATGTAATGTATATATAGTGTGTATATATGTGTGTAATATATATGTATATACATGTGATGTATATATGTGTGATATGTATATATTTGTTGTATATGTACATATATTACTTAGGGGCTATGTCTTTTTCCATTGCCTAGGATAGTTTAAATAATAACCTACCACAGTTGCAAGGACATGGCACAAAACTCCTAAATCAGAGACAAAAGACAGTTTATTACTCATAGCAACAGCAGTGGTGAGAGATGAGCATTCCTGTGCTGATTCCTTAAGCCTGAGTTCTCACAGGACCGTGTGAAGAGGATGAGATGGTTCCGGCACATGCGGGGGTTGGATTACAGGAAAGGAAGTCTGAGTTTAAGAAGCCTGATTATTTTATAGTGGGCAGTAAGCATACTTGCTCTTTGCGGTACAGTGAGACACACTCTTTATCTAACTTAGCATTAAAAAGCCCAAAATGAGGTTATTCTCTTGAGGTCTTTAGCCAAAATGCAACACTCTACATTGCTGGTTCTTTCCTCTCCTGCCCCTCTGATACCATTCGTGTGGCCATAACAATATGCAGAACACACATGCACACACACACACATTTGCTCTCTCTAGACTGAGGATAAGAGGGGGCTATATTGCTGAAAGAGGAACAAGGTCAACTAGTGAGAACGATGATTTCTTTACCCATCTTCTCAGCAACAATAAAAACACAGCTACAGCTCAGTTTAAGCAAACACCTAATGAAGATTCAGCTTTATAGAAAATAGTTACCTTAATATTAAATCCATTGACTAGCCTTCATTCTTCAAAGCACTGGAGTAGAAGTCCTTTACACGTGGCAAGCTTCCCTCACATCTATTCCAGGAAAAAACTTACTCTGAAAGATAAAATGCTTCTGAAGCCTGGCTTTTTTTCCCCCCAGATTTGACACCACAGTAACTGAAGTCAGATAAGCAATGGACAAAATACAAAACCAGATTCTAGTTTCCGTCAAAAGCTGAACTAAGCAACAATTCTGAACTGCCACATCTGAAATACTAGGTGGCAAGACATGATTTTGAAAGATGGACTTCATCTGCCCCCTGCTGTACTCTAAGTAAATGACAGGACTTCCTAATGGAGCTTCAGCAGGTAAGAGGCCCATTGGGCATGTGTTAGCAACCCTTGCTAGAATATCAGTGTTCTGTCAAAAGGGACTGTGACTGTGGTTCACCACTGTCTCCCCAGCAGGTCATGTAGTTGGAATATAGCAGGCCTTCAATAAATATGTGCTGAATGAGTGAACATACAGGTAAGGAAGACAAGCTTACATACTCTGCTTGCATAAGCATAATACCAAGAGCAAACAGGCCAAAACAAAAGTTGCAAATGTTTAGAAATTCCCAGTAAGTGTTTGAGATAAATTGGTGGCAAAGGGGCACGCCTGATGTCCTCCAATAAAGTAATAAAGTTGGAATATTCAGACTTAACGATAAAAGTAAATTTTCTAAATCTTACTGCCAAGAAATAAATCTTTGAGAGTTGAGCATATAAAAGCCTCTGAGGTTAAAAACACCATCTGATTGTCTCCAAGATGGCAGAACTAGCTGAGATATCATGAAGTTCTCTGTGTTTTAATCTCATTCACCAGACTCCCTGCTTTTATAGGATGGAAAAGGTAGGCATCATCTTTAGTTGAAGGTAGATTTATTGAATATAAAAGAAGTCATGTTAGGGCTGAGATTTGGACATTTTGTATGTGCCTATGTACCTGCCCTGGAGAAACTGAGGCTTCACTGAGGAGTCAACAAATAAGTTTATGCAGAACAATTCTGAAGGGGATAAAATAAGGTGCCAATGAGTGTGATACAGAATATGCCCTAGGGAGAAAGGTTCCCACCAAGGGAATGTTCCTACGTCTGAGACCAACACTGGCCACTTCAGGTTTCTCACTCCATACCTCTAAACAAGCAGATAAAACAAGCAGAAAAAACAGGGGTGGGGAATGCCTACCCTTTTAGCTGAGGTCATGGTTCCTGGTATTCAGAGAAAATAGGACTGTTGCTGAATAAGACAGGCAGGAATGAATGTTGGGAAACGAGGGGGCCTCCGTGCACTGCCTTGTTTAACAGTGCAGTTAACAGGACTAGAGCAACCTTACAGAAACCGAGGGCCACCCAGGCTCAAATCCCTCAGGAACAGACTTTTGGGTTCCTCCCCCAGGTAAAGCCGGATGAAGTTGTGGCTGAGGGGAAAGGAATCAGGGACCGAGTAAATAGCAACTATGGCCTTATTTTTCTCCTCCCTTGGTGACATGTATATAAATATGTATACTAATTCTCATTTTCTTCCCCTCTCTCTTCTGCAACTATTCTATATAGTCTCTGTTGATTCATTTTACAATTTCTCCACAGTTGACAGGGCATTAAGATGGGGTTGTGTTTAAATTAGGAGAATGAACATCAAAACAAAATTTAAAGCTGAATGCAACAAATTGAGGCTTGGGACTTCCCCTTTTGGGGAGCCAGTAGCATATTCTGTCTAAGGGCTATACTCTGCACTGTGTTAAGTGGAGGGGAGGCTTAGGATGGAAGTTTCCATGGGTTCATGTTTCCAGCTCTTAGGACAGTGCCTGGTAGAGTCAGACAATATTATTAATTACCTGAATTGTCAGAATTGTAAACACATCTTTGAACATATACTTAATATATGTTTAAAAGGAGAGAGAGTCACAAAGGCTATTTGAAATTCCACCACCCACCGCAGCTGGAACTTTGATCCCAGTGAACAAAGAGAATCCCTAACCTACTCCCATGGATGACATATAATACGTAAACAAATGAGGTATCAGGTGCTCAGAAGATACAAAAATAGGGAAATGCCCCAGAGATACTTGAGTAATGGTGGTTCAGAAAGGTATCTCAGAGGAGCAACTAACAATTGAGATCTGAATGATGAGAAAGAAGATCTGGTGAAAGATTGTTTCTAGCAGAATCAACAATAAGCATAGAAGCCCTGAGATAGGCCGTGTGTTTAAGGAGTCAGTGTGGCTGGAGCACAGCGAATGAGAGGAAAGGAAGATGCAGTCAGAGATACGCAAGAGATTGAGAACCACGGGATTAAGTGATATACAAAGCTGTGTGGAGATAAGTGGCTTTATTTTCTGATGGTGAATGGCGGAAAGGAGTTGTGAGGCATGATGGGGCAGGTCCTAGAAGCTCTGGTAAGACAGTGTTCTCAAGACTGCTCAGGAAGGTGTATACGTACAAGGCTCGTAGAGGGCAGCGGTTCTACTTCTAGTTTATCCCAGTCTCCTGGTTATTAGCAGAGATGTGCACAAAGATGTAGGTACAAAGTTATCCATTGCTGTATTGTTGACCAACCAAAAATGAAAATGTCAAATATGCATCATTATGAAACTAAATTATAACAAAATAAAATGCAGCCATTAAAAAAGCTTAAAATATGATTTACTGTCATGAGAAAAGGCTCATGTACATTAAATAAAGAATACAGGTCTTATAACCATGATGTACAGCATGGTATCAAATTCAAACATATACTTACTTGTACATACAGGTCTTAAAACCATGATGTACAGCATGGTACCAAATTCAAACATATACTTACTTGTACACACAAATACATATAACAGATTAGCAGGAAATACTCCCCCCAAAAAAGTATCAGTGCTTATTTCAGACAAGTGCAAAGTATTAAGGGTGATTTTTTTTTCGTATTTTAAAAATTTCTTGCACACATCTAATATTGACAGAAAAAAAGGTTTTTTGTTTGTGGGTATTATTTATTTTAAAGAAATGGATTTACAATACAGTCCCAGTTCCCACTGTAGGCAAGTGGAATCTGGTGTTTCTGATTACCAGAAGCATGACATGCATGGGTTTTTAAGTATTAAAAAAATTATCCAAAACTTGGAAATAACACAAAAGACAATGCAGCGTGTCCTTTCAAAGTCATACTGGGGCATTGTTTAACATGGGGACCCCTTGGGCTTCCCGACACTTGCAGGATTCTGTAGTCCTTTATTTCCAACTACATTAACTGTGAGGCCAGATTTTCTTCATATATTTCAGGCAAAACAACATATTGCAATATATGAATGCAGAAGCTGATATGAGAATCCAGCTGTCTTTTGATAAGCCAGTGAAGTATTGTATTTACAAAAGGACAAAACAATGCCTTTTTTCTCAAAATATTCAAATCTGGCTATTTTTCATTTAAAAAGTTAAGCCTATTACTTTTAAATTAAATTTAAACATTTTTGTTTTAATTGATAGTAAAACAAATATTGACAATTTGGGGTTCTTAGTTTTTAAGAGTGTAAAAGCATTCTAAAACAAAAAAGGTCTGAGACTAGCTGATCCAGACATGTTGGACTTTGCTGTTGACTATGAAGGGCTCAGATCACTCGCCTATCATTTCAAAACATAACTCCTGGTCCTCCAACTCTGCTTTGAAGCAGCTTTGCCACCTTATTGGTTTCCTCATTAAGGTGAATAAATTTGACAAATACTCGTTATATATTTGTATGACAGTAATGTTTGATTTTTTTGGAGATTATACTTGATAGGAGGTATAATCTCTGCTACTTTTAAAGACATTATATGATTTAGCCCTTAAGTTCTTTTCTTTGCATTCAAAGGCGGATAAAAGAACGAGGAACACCATGAAGTCTCTTATTCTTAACAATTTCCCTAATGAATACGATTGCAACGATCAGATGTGCCTAAAACTAGCTTGTTCCTCCAGGAAAGTATTGGAGAATCAGTCCAAAGCTTGCGAAACAGTCGCAGATTTGAAAGAATATCTACGGTTAAGAATGGGTCTGTAATTTGGGAAGGATTATTTCACTCTAATATGGAAAGGTATAGTTTTAATCTACTGGTGACGTTTGTCCTTCCCAAGACAGGGCCCACCTCCCTTGCAGGTAAAGAACATAATCTCAGCTCTCTGCAGAAAGGTTTCCAAGTCAGGGTAAAAACAGCAGGAGAAATCCATAATCCTAATAACCGTTAGGAAACACTTCTTTTCTCTAATACTGGATCTGAAGCTTCAGTACGCATCAGAATTACCTGAGAGGCCTGTTAGAAATACAGATTTAAATTCATTATGCAGTTGCGGGGTGGGGGTGGGGGTTAGTGGGGAAGCAGAGGGGGCAGGGAGGAATAGGGAGGAATGTGCATGTAAAAAGGAAGCACTCCAGGTGATTCTGAAGAAAAAATAAAACCGTATTTTGAGAACCTCTCCTAGACTATTAGAACTTCTGCTTAACAGTGCTCTTACATTTTTCTAAGAATCATCCATGTATCTATCCTTAACGTCTGAACGCCAAGTCCCTCCAGATGGTCTGTAAGGCACTTCACAATCGGAGCAGCGCATCTCTACAACTTTTTATCTCCCACCAGTACATCCATATCCGCCCTGCATCCACCCTTCCTACGCTCTAGCGCAAACTGTTCCAGGGTGCCGCGTTCCTCCTTGCTGTTGACCTCTTTCGCTCCTCCTTCCTCTGCCCGTGTAGGACTACTTACCCTTCACAGCGCTGTGATAGGTGGGGCAGCACATAGTACCTGGACTCTGAAGCCAGCGTACCTGCCTTCCAACCCGAGCGCACTCCCACTGGCAAACGTCGGCGCCCCGAGACGCAGGTGACCTCTCATCAAAATGGAGGTAGAAATACCCACCCCAAGGTTTTACTGCACCAGCACTGGCAGTATTCACATTAAATGAGCTCATTTGGGTCTTTTGCCTCCCGTAAAACTTTGTCTTCCCAGGAAGAGCTAACTCTTCAATCTTCTCTTTCCTAAGCAATGTTACGTGTTCTTAAAGATACACCATAAATATATAAACTCTTAACTCCTTACTGCACCGGCCCATAAACCCAATTTTGGAAGAACTAATGACTTAACAAGAAGCTGCATCAGATCAAATCAATAAAGTTCTGTGGATAATCCAAATCTCTAAGATTAGGCTACCGTTACCCTACACCAATTATTTCACCATTTTTTTAGTTAATGATAATGTTCCTTAACAGTTTGAGGCTAAGGAAAAAATCCTACCATTGATAATTAAGAGCCCACAATTGCCAAATAACCACCTACAGATGGTATGTATTTAAGTATG